CAGGAAAGGACCGAGCGATTATCTGGTGCCTCCCATCTGCTTCCGGGGGATCGCTGACGCTGGTCCCCAAAGCGGCCGACACCATTTTTAGGCTTCCCATTTACCGATGGAAAAACCAAGGCTCGAGAGGAGAATGCACTTCGCGCGGCCTGAAGCAAGCCCGGGCGCCAACTGTGAACGTCACGCGGACAAATGCGTGCCCTCACGCACCCTCCTGCCCGCCTTTCGTCTCCCAAGGGCCCCGTGCTGGGCCGAGGTTGACGGGGCGGAGGAGGCAGGGGGGGAGCCTCAGTCATGGCCTGGCCTGCTCCTCTCTGTATCCCACAAGGCCCCACCTTCCTGCCTTCAGTCCCCCACAAGCCCCGACCAGAGAGGGCTAGGTCACACAGCGCACCAGGGGCAGGCCCGCGGCTGCCCTGGGCCCCCTTGCTCCAGACCGTCTGAACCCAGGGTGCCCGTTGACCCTGGCCCCAGGCTTGGTCCCGGTAGGCCCTCCGGTGCGGTTCACTCCTGGTCGTTCATTTATCCACCGTGCATTCAAGCTCCCCCTCTTTCTATCGTCTGCACAACGGGGAGGGTGTGGGTACCACCCGCCAACCTCCAAAGCGGCTTGCGGGCTTTTTTCCTTTAGGGGTTTCAGGCACTCAGGATCCTGTAGGTTCTAACTCGGCTCTGCCTCTTAGGAGCTGTGTGACCTCGGGTGAGTGGCTGACGGTCTCTGGGCCTACCAGAAGGTAACCGCCCCCCCCCCCCCCCCCCCCCCCCCGGGGAGGGCGGTGGCGAGAATGGGGGGGGGGGGGAAAACGTGGGATGAGCTGAGACCCAGCCCGCAGCGGGCACTCCGAATGTGCTCGCGCTGCTTTACCTCTGTGGTTATCACGGCTCCCCACTTCCCTCCGGGCGGGGCTGGGGACCCCCTCGATTCTCCTGCCGCTCCCTGGGCCGCCCCGGGGCGCCCCTCCAGCAGCTGCACAGCTCCCCGAGCCGGCCCCTGCCCACGGCGCCATCCCGGGAGGTTGGCACCACACAAGGCGGGAACGAGGAGCCGGGCCCGCGTCAGCAGATGGGCACCATCTGGGCTGGCCGCTCGGGGCGGGCTGGTAGCTGCCGGAGCGGGCGGGCCTGGCAACCCCTCCCCCGCCCGGCCCTGGCACGGGGCCCGCCCGCGCCTCAGGTTTCTCAGGCCGCCAGAGGGGGCGGGGAGGCCTGGCTGGGCTTCAGGGCTGGGCAGGCGGCTTCCCTCTCTGGGCCTCGGTTCCTCCAGGCTCCCTCCCAAATGCAAGGCAGGTGGAGGAGTGCCGGGCTCCCCCCCCCCCCCCCCTCCTTCCTGGCCTCCCCCCCACCCTCCCCACGAAGCCGCCACGCAGCAGGCCTCGCCTCCGCCTCTGCCTCCGCCAGTCTCCTCCCCTCCCAGGCCTTCCCGCGCTCCGCTCCTCACGCTTCGGGCCACGCTGGCCTCTGGGCCTTTGCACCGGCTGTGCCCCCGTGCCCGGTGCACTCCCACAGATGCCTCTGTGGCTCCCTTGCTTCCTTCAGGCCTCGATCTCAAAAGCCACCTCTTTGGGGCCGCCCTCCCTCCTCGGCCTGCAGTGCCCCCCTCCCCACCCGTCTCCACACCCTGCCCTGCTTTGTTTTTATTCACTGAACCGTGAACTGCCAGCTTCCGGGTCCCCTGCCCAGTGTACCCATTCAGCGGGCAGCCCCCCGGGTCCTCAGGTGAAGCTCACATCGCCCGCTCATCATGGTCCCCCAGCTGCTCCCAGGGCACATACTGAGCCCAGCCCCTGGACTCAGGGCCCTGTGGCCCCAGGGCCCCGTGGCCCCAGATGGACACTGGGGCAGCCAGATTTCACCCCAGGAGGTGCCCTGGGCTCTGACCGGCCTGGGAGCCCCAGTGGTGAAAGGGCCTTCTCAGAGCTTACCCCCACCCCTTCGTCCCCCATAATAAAGGTGGGAGCACTCCTGTGAGTCCACCTGACCCCCCAGGAGAGACGCGGAAGCTGGTGGGGGGGCTGCGCCTGTCCCAGGATAGGGGTACTGAGTGCCAGGCCTCTGTGCCCGTCTGTCTGTCTGGACCTCCAACTGTCTCTGCGTGTGTCTCTCGGTCTTTCTGTCTGTTCCGAGGTGCCCCATCCCCCCCTGCATGCACGCTGCCCGCGGGCCCGGTTGAAGGGGCTGCTGTGCTGCGGCCCAGGCCACAACACTTTCCAGCCCTGAGACCCCAAGGTGGAAGGAGGAGGGCGGCCGGTGGCCATCTGCCTCCGCCGTCAGACCGACAACCTGCGGGACCAAGAACAGAGATTTCGCTGGGGCCCGGGAGGAGCACGGGGGGCCTGGAGGTGGGAGCCCAGAACACAGGCCCAGCCCGGGGGTGCCAACACGCCGACCGGATGCCCAAGTTGCGCACTGCAGTTTCCTTTATCTCCTCCACCACCCAGGGGGAAGGGCCGGGCTGTGTTCAAAGAAGCTGCCCACGTCCAAATCCCACCTCTGCCCTTTCTCGGCCACGTGACCTTGGGCCGGCAGGTCCCTTTTTGGGGGCCTCTGTTTCCTCATCCTCGACGCGAGAACCACAGTGATCCCTGCCTTGGAGGGCTGCTGAGGGAACGGGAAAGAATCGCTAAGCGCTCAGAAACGATGCCCGGCAGAGAGAGAGAGAGTGGAGTTCGGAGTTGGGGTTTTGAAGCATACGCAGGAGTTTTCCGTACGCGAAAGACCTCCGGGCAGAGGGAGCATCAGGGGCAAAGGGGCAGAGTTGGCCAATCGGAACCACGATGAGGATAGTGGCGGGGGTCACAGGAGTGGCCCATGGAGCCCTGGCCCCCGGGGGCCTGGCACCTCTTCCCGCCCCGCGGGGGGCCGTCTCTGGGCACTTACCATGCGGGCCCAGCGTTCCTACCAGTCAACTATTTTCAAGCTTCCCATTTTAAAGACGAGGAAAGAAGGCACAGAGAGGTTAAGCGACTTGTCTCGGATCACCCAGCCCGCAAGCCGCTGAGCTGAGGCCGGGTCAGCCGGGACCAGGGAGAGCTGGGGTTCCCACGGGGATGACGGGAGCCTTGACCTTCCCCAGCCCTCGAGCGAAGAGGCAGACGGGGCTGGCCGGCAAAGGCATGGCCGCCGGACACGAGGGTGTCTGGGGAAGCCTGGAGGCCCGGCCTGCCTGCCTGCCGAGCCGAGCGGGGGAGGGGGCCGGCTGGAGATTGTGCTGACTCCGGCAAAAAACTCGCTTCAAAATTTTATCAGCTCAGCGCGGAGGAGGTGGGGGCAGGGCCAGGCTGCAGGATGGATGTGGGTGGTGTGTGGTGGGAGAGGCCTGGACCCGCGTGGTAATGAGCTCAGCAGCCCCCAAGGCCACCCCTGCCCCCCGGGCCCCGGGACACACAGGCGCCTCGTCCGCCCCTCTGCCTCCGCGACCCCGAAGGCGGCTTCGCTCCCGGCCTCAGTGGGTTTGCTGCTCGTCCGAGGGGGCAGGGCAGGGGGGCGGAGGGGGTCAAGGTCGGGGAACCCAGGTCGAGACTGGGAGGCTGCCCGCCTCTCCCGCCCCCACACACCCCCCGGAGACCTCCAGGGGTCGGCGTGGTTGTACCCCCCTCCCGCGTGCAGAGGAAACACACAGAACCGCGATGTGTGCAAGGTCACGGCTTGAACAGGGCAGGGCTCTGCGTGGAACCTGGGTGGCCGGGCGCCCGGTCTGCCCCCACCAGACCCCCACGCCGGGCCGCCCCCCCCCCCCCCCGCCTTCCTTCTGTTTCTGGTCGTGCCACGGAGCGTGCTCCCGGGCGAGGGGGGGTCTGCCGTGGCTGGGCGTGCAACCTGAGCGTACCCACCGGACCCACTCAGGCGGCCCCCAGGTGCGTGCCCACGTGAGCACCAGGCTCAGCCCCGGGGGGCGGGGGGGGCGAGGCATGGGGGGGGGGGCATGTGGCATGTGACCGCTGGGTCCTACGGGCACGCTGGACTCCATCCACATGAACACATTCCCAGCTGACACCTGCCACGTGGCAGGCCAGTGTTCACAACCTACATGCGTGACCTGGCGAGTCCCCCGTGGCCTAATCGAGCTAAAGACTCATAACCTCCATGTGACAGACAGGGGAAACTGAGGCCCAGGTTGGACCCACAGCCAGGAAGCAGCAGGGCGACAGAGCCCACGGCCCTGCCAGCCAGGCCCTGCCCTTGGCCACCAGCCCTGCCGGCATCCAGAGGCCGGCCCGCACATCTGGCCTCCGCATCTCTGCCCGGGCCGCTGACCCTCTGGGACGCCCCCACACTCGGCTCTGTCCAGCCATCCCGCAGAGCTCAGCTCAGCCACTCCACTTTGTCCAGGAAGCTGCCGTGGGTCTCCTCGCTCTCACAAACCCTGCTGTCTCCAGGAGGGGCATCCGGCCCCAGAGCCAGCAGACGCCCGGCTAGAAGGGCCGGAGCTGGGGACACAGGGGACCAGAGGACCAGAGAGGGTGGCCACCCAGCCCAAGTCGCACAGCACCCAGTCTCCCACGCGGCACAAAGGCGGGACCTGTCAGGCCTCTGCGGAAGGCCCGAGGGTGGACCAACCTGGATCCACAGCGGGCGACCAGAGCCCTGTCTCCGCTTTCCCCAGAGGGATAAGGTTGTTTCTCTGCCACCGGTCACTCTCCGGTCCTCACCCCTATTCCCAGCAAGGCCTTCTGCTGCCCCTCGGGCCTTCCGGGACAGGATCTCGTCTCCCGCCATCTCAAGAGCTCGCCTCTCACCTCTAAACCCCCCAGGACACACTGCCTCCTCCCTCAGACCGTCCTTGAACCCTGTCTTGTCCCTTCACACCTGTGCCTGCCCGCTGCCCTAGCGCGGGCCCACCTACCCCCTCGGACCTTCCCGTTGCCTCTGCCTCCCGTCTGGGGGGGCGCACCTGAGCCGCCTCCCCGCTTTAGCCGCGCGCGCGCGCGCACACACACCGCCCCCTGGAGACCCCGGGCGCGCACGCACGCACGCACGCAGCTCGCGCCCGCCCGCCTCACCTCGCTCGCGCACGAAGTAGGCCAGGTAGAGGTCGAGCTCCTTGACCGCCACGCCGATGTGATGCGGCTGCACGCAGAGCACCGGGTGGCCGCACTGCGCCGCCTTGACCAGCCGCTCGCCGTCGGTGCTCTCCAGCGGGATGCCCTTGAAGAGGATGACCATGACCAGGTCCAGCCGCCACACCTTGTCGGCCTGGCGCAGGCAGTCGATGCGGCGCATCTTGCCCTTCTGGTCGGGGTTGGAGAGCACGCAGCCCGGCGCCTTCTTGCCGGTGATGGCCAGCACGAAGTCCTCGCGGCACTCGGGCCGGATGTCTTTGCGCAGCTTGGCCAGCAGCCGGGACGCCCACTTCTGCTTCACCTCGGCCTTCTCGCCCAGCAGCTCGTCCTTCACCGCGCGCTCCTCGTCCTTCGACATCCGCTTCTCGTGCTTCTTGAAATACTTGCGCTTCCGCGCCTGCAGGTTGAACCAGGTGTAGGCGAAGGCGCGGACGTGAGGCAGCAGCGCCTCGATGAACGGGTGGAACTCATCCTGCAGGCACGAGAGGCCAGAGGTCAGGAGGCGCCGGGGACCGGGGGCCCACCGCCCAGCCCAGGGGACTGAGGTCTAGGGGCCCCAGGAAGACCCAGGCGCGTGTGGGCAGGGAGCTACCGCGGACCTGGTAACCTCCTGGGGGAAAGTGAAAGCTGGGGGGGGGGGGGGGGGGAGAGAGGACCCGGCGGAAGTGCAAGGGGGACTGGCGTGAACCGGCCCCATTGCCCGAATGGGGAAACTGAGGCTTGGACTATGTGGGAGGCGCAGGGCAAGGCGGGAGTTCATGGAGGGCCGTCTTGAACCCTGGAGGGCCCCCAGAGGCGGATGGGGGCGAACCCATTGTACAGATGGGGAACACTGAGGTCAGGAGAATAAGGATGTTACGGAGCTCTTCTCTGTCCACCAGAAAGGGGGTCGGCAAACCCCAGTCTGGAAGCGCTTTAAAGGACAAGGTGGCGAGCGTTCCGTTCTGTTGCACCTGCTCGACTCTGCACCTAGCGCCAGATCAGCCGTAGATGCGACGCGTAAATGACGGCCGTGGCCACGTTCTGATGACACTGTGTTTAGGAAGAGAGGTGGCGGGCATTGGGCCCCAGGACCTGGGGTTTGCAAGCCCCGGAACCAGAGCGTGCGCTCCCGTGTCTAGACCGGGGCCAAGCATACGCCAGGCATACAGTGAGCACTCAATGATTGCAGGAGAGGCCAGGCTCTGAGAATGTCATTTGGTGCTGGTTTCTCAGATCTACCATCAGCAAAGAAAGCTGACACCGGGGCGGGCAGGTCTGAGGGCAGCCTCCACTGGCCCCTGGTGCAGATTTAAGAAATGAGGACTAGGGGTCGTTCCTATAGACCGGCGGTACAGACAAGGCCGGCCGAGGTCTACGGGCCAAGACTAGGGCAACCGAGACGTCAGGGGCCGAGGGAAGGGGGAGGGGCTCCTGTATAGACCCCCCTGGAGGGGTAGGGAAAGCGGAGGCCCAAGAAGGCATGAGATCAGAACACAAGAGACAAGGGGAGCCCGTCCAAGGAGGTCCAGAGCTGGAGAGAGGAGCCCCTGGAGGCCGGTAAGACCCATTCCACAGACGGAAAAGCTGACGCCTGGGGAGGCTCTAAGTCCTGGCCAGACCTGGGACTTCAACACCCAACCCCCCCCCCCCCCCCCCCCCCCCGCCAAGTCATGCCTAACTGGTGTTGCCGGGAGGCCCCAACACCCACTTTACAGACGGGAAGACTGAGGCCCTAAGAGGGGACCTAGTCACGAGGGGCGTGGAACCTACACCCATCTGACTTCCCCGTGCCAACAGCAGCGGCCCTCGCTGGGTCCCCCGGAGCGCAACCGGGGGCCGTGGGAGGCCCGGTCCCCTCCCCTGGGGGTAGGGGGGCTGCCTCTCTCCATGTTTCATCAAGGGAAACTGAGTCTGCAGAACCTCCCAGACCTGGGGTCTCGGCCTCCAGGAGAAAGGAAGACAAAGGGCAGAAAACCTTGGGCCGCGTGTCTCCACTCTCGCCTGGGCCCGCCAGCTCCCGTGACATCGTTACAAGTCTTCTGGTGGCTTACAGTCTTCCAGGGCTCAGGGAAAGGCCCAAGGACCCCACAGTAACCCCCACCCCGGTGCACCCTCCCTGCTCTGGGCACCTCTGGCCGTGGGGTGCCGGCGGGGGGTTGGGGAAGGGAAACACCTCAGATTTCGCCTATTACCCAGGCTCTGAAAATAGCCTCCCGCCCTCGCCAGGGTGGGGCGGGCCGGGGCTCGGCTTGTGCCAACCCCAGCTCCCCACTCCGATGTCCCCCAAAGCGTGAGTCACCGTGACAGCTGTGGCAGGGACGGGACCTCAGGGCTCTCTTCCGCTGCCCACACCCCCACCCCTGCCCCCACCCCGGCTGACCTGCTGAGGCAGAGGGAGAATGGAGGGGGCCCATCCTAGGCCGGAGTCTGTCCAACCTCAGCCTGGCTTTTCTGTGCGTGAATGCCACCTGACACGCTGGCCCCAGAGACGGGGGGTGACTCACCCAGGGTCACACAGCCGGTCAGCAGAGCTGGGACCAGAGCCCAGGCTGCCTGGCCAGAGAAGCCGGGGGTTGGGGGGGGGGGTGGGGATCGGTAGAGGCATAGGTCGCTGCCCCCAGTGGAGGGGACGCCAGGGTGGCAGGAGGCCAAGGCAATGGTGTTGACCTTGGGCCATGGCCGCCACCCAAATTCTCGCGCTTACTGGGGCAGTGATAAGAGGTAGCTGGGAAGGGGCAGCCGGACTGTCAGCCCGCAGGGACAGACAGACAGGTCGCCAGAACCCTTTTCTCTCTGAACCCCTCCCCTTTCTCTGGGCTCCGCCCCTTCTTGGAGCCCCACCCCCACTCTGGGTCCACTCTCAGGAGAGGTGCCAGGGAGGTGGGCAGGGGTGGGAGCCCACGTCACCAGTGACCCCAGCTGGGCCCGGAGGAAGGAAGGCAAACAGTCTGTAACTGGGTCATGGACCTGCGGCCCCAGCGTCCCTTGTCCTCCCTGGGAGGTCAGGCCAGGTGAGAGGCAGGCCCGTCACCGTCTCTGTCCCACAAGGCCTGCCACAACCAACGCATCTTTCCCAGGCACCTCCCGATGCCCTCGCCGGCTGACCAGGCCAAGGACACGCTCAAGGCAAGCTAGAGGCCAAGAGTCCTCCAGAACTCCTACACATCCCTCAAAGCCTTGTCTCCAGTGCCCCTTCTCCTTCAGGCAGCCTGTCCTGCTCTCCTCGGAGTTTCCCCCAGACCTAGCCTGGCCCACACAAGCTGGGGTTCTCCAAGTCCAGTTCTGTTGTCTTCCCTTCCTCCCCCCTCCCCCAAACCTGGGTCCCAGGACCACCAAGCGGACTGTCTGTAAGGGAATGAGGTCGGGTTACAGCGGCCACCTTCTGCGTGACCCAGGAACAAATCACTGCTCCGCTCCGGGCCTCGGTCTCTCGTTCTGTACCATGGGCAGAATGGGGTGCTGCAGCTGTTGGGGTTTGGGACTCCTGGTAACCAGAGAGGCAATGCTGGGGTGGGGGGGGGGGGAGGGAGCGAGGCCAGGACTTTCCCAGAAACTCCACTTGGCTCACTGGGACTTCCTGGCCAGAAAGGGGAGCAGCATCTGGGAGCTGGACACCTGGGTCCCAGCCCTTGCCGGATGGGTTAGACCATGAATCTCCTATTCACAAACCACAGCTTTTCCAGGAAGGATTCTCTCTCCCTCATCTACTCGGTGACTCACGAAACGTTACGGCGAATCAGTCTTGCCAGCCCCTGAACGCTCATCCCAAACTCTTACGCATCCTTCAAAGCCCCGCCCAGGTCCAATGTCTTTCCCTCCGGGTTAAACCCAGGTTAAGCGGCAAACAGCAGAGCTCGTATTCAAACCCAGGCCCATCTGGCACCAGATGAGTGTTCCTAACCTCAGGTCCTTCCTCCCCTCAAGCTCAGAGCGTCACAGCTTAGGCACAACGCTCACATAACGAGGGAGAGATTCATTTGGTTGTTCCACAAACATTTCTTGAGTGCCTACTGTGTGCCAGCTCCGTGCACGGTGCTGTGGACCCAGCAGTGACCTGGGCTCTGTCCTCACCTGGATCCTGATCTGGGGTAGGGACGGATGTTAAAAGAAGCCGAGAAATATGTAATAAAATGTCAGTTTGAACAAAGTGCCCTGAAAAAATTTCAAGGAGTTTGAGGAGGGCCAGGGGATCCCTTGGGTTGCGGGGGGTTTTTTTTTTTGTGTTTTTTTTTGCGCTGACGGTGGGTGGTCAGGGAGGGTCTTTCAGAGGAGAGGACACTCGAACAAAGACCTAAAAAAATGACAGTCCAGGGTAGGAGCTCTCCACGTAGCGAAAACAGCACGTGCAGAGGCCCTGAGGCAGCCCCGTGCCTAATGTTTTGCAAGAACGGCGAAGAGGTTGGTGTCACTGGAACAGAGTGAACGGGAAGAATGGGAGGGACGAGAGCAGGGAGGCGACGGGGGCCGGGTGTGCAGGGTCTAGTGGGCCACCGGGAAGAATTTGGGCATGTATCTTGAGGAGCGGGAATGGACACTTCCTGCCAAAGTGACCAGGGAGTCTGAACCCTGGATCTCCCGACTTCCCTCTCTGTGCCTTCACGTTCCAGCAGGATGGCCGGGGTGCGGGAGAGACAGATAGGGAGTCATTTCAGGGGCCGATCGCTTCCTGAGCTACCGACAGGGACGATCCTTGCACCCATTTTCCGGAGGGAGGGACTGAGGCGCTGAGCACCGAGGCCACCCGCCCACAGCCACGCAGCCGGGGAGGCGCCAAGCTGGGACTCGGACCCGCGTCCCTGTGACTGGGGACCTCCTGACCCCCTCGGCCTCGCTGCTGGGCCCTTCGAGCACGTGGCCTGGCCCCATGGCTGGGACTCCCCGGAGCACCCTGCGTGCCCGCTCTGAATCCCGTGTGACTCCCTTCCCCTGCTCCGTCCCAAGTCACACGCCACCTCGTCCCCGGCCAGAGCGGCAGGCCCTCCAGGACACGGATTTGGTCCCTGTCGTTCACCGCTGTGCCCCCAGCGCCCGGATCCCCGTGGGAGCAACCTCACCCTTAATTACCCCCCTGGTCACACACCCCAGGCGCGGAAGGATGCTGCTACCCCGCTGGGTTTGGCCAGACTTGGGACGACCCTGGACAAGGCCCGGCGGGGAGGAAAGACCACGAGAAAGACCCTCGGGGGTCACCGCCGTCCGTCCCCATCACCCAGCCCAGGGCCTGGCTCCCTGCCCAGCAAGCAGTGACAGAACGAGGGGAGGGTATGCTGGAAAGGCCTCCCAGATGTTTGATCCAGTTACTAGTCTAGCGACCGCCATAATCACAGCCACATTTATTTGGCACCCACTGCATACCAGGCGCTGTGCTAAGGGTGAGGCAGCCGAGGAAGGCAGGCCAGCTGAGACAAGGTGGACCCGTGCGGCCGTTCGTCTATGCAGCAAACATAAGCACCTACTGTGCGCCGGGCACCTCAGAGGGGACGCGCCTCCCTGAATCCTCAGGCCGCAATGAGCTGCTGAAGCTCACCCCGAACTTCACCGTGAGGACGGGGCACGAAGAGTGAGGTCCCCTGCCCAGAGGCACCCAGCCGGAAGGCCCAGGGCTCAGTGCTGAGCCTCCTGAGCGAGATGTGGAGGCGGACCCGAGGGGCCCTAGGTGTCCCGCTGGGGGAACCCCGCGAGGACACGTCCGCGGCGAGGCGGGGCCGTGTCTCCGTCGGTGCGGTGTCAGCCCGCGCGTCTGTGCGTCTGTGCGCGTGGCTGCGTGTGGTTCAGTCCCGCGGGGGCCCCTGCACGCGCACCAAGGGGATGCGCCTAGGCGAGGCGGCACACGCGTGTATGGGTCGGTGTGAACACGTGCATTCGTGTGACGGGGGGCGGGAGGACCCAGGACCTGGTGAGTGTTTTGTGTGCATTTGGTGTGAGACAGGTCAGACGGTTCAGGCTGAGAGAGACAGACAGACAGAGACAGAGAGCCGGAGGGAGAGAGAGAGAGACAGAGGGAAAGAGAAACAGAGACCGAGGGAGAGAGAGAAGGAGAGAGAGAGAGAGAGAGAGAGAGAGGGAGAGGGAGAGGGAGAGAACGCTGACTCGGCCAGAATCCGGGCTTCGTGATTTACAAGGCGCCTGGCCCTGACGCGCTGAGGCACCTCACCGCCGCCGCAGAGAAGGGAGGGAGGGACGCAGGCATGGAGACAGAGAGCAGCCTGGAGCGAGGTCGTGCTTTCTGCAGGAGCGAAGCAGGGGCCATCAGACCACGGGCGGCGGGTGGGGGTGGGGGCACACCCACAGGGAGCGTCCACCTGCCCAGGCCCGGCTCAGCACCCAGGCAGGAAGCGGCCCCAGGCCCAGCCTTGCCAGCCGTGCTGTGCTGTGCCACCCCGGGCAGGCCCTGGCCCTCTCTGGTCTGGGCTCCTCTCCCGGCCCTGAGGTGCCGGGGGACCCCGACCCCCCCAGAGCCCCTACCAGGCCTAGATGTCACTGATTCCCGATCCCCACCCCCCGCCCCGAGGAGGCACTTCAGAGATCCAGTACACAGATCACAAGTCCCGGCCACCCTCCCAGCCTCAGTCTCCCCGCTGGAGAAACGGCCCTAAGGGGCTGAGAGGGACAGAGGGGCAGAAATGAAGGGAGGAATGAATGAATGAGGGAGGGGCCCTGGCTGCCCGGCGTGGCCGTGGCCGTGGCCGTGGCCTGGGCCCAGCCCCGCGGCCCCGGGGAATCCTGGGCCCTGCAGCCAAGAGGGATTTGGCCCCAAACCCGGAATAACTAACGTGGCGGGCGCTTGGGGCGGAGGGAGGCAGGGAGGGAGGCCCAGAGCGGGGCGAGCGGGAGGCCGGCCTTCCCGCCGGCAGGATTTATGGAAGTAACCGCTGCTCCACAGTTACTCTCGAGAGTAAAAGTGAAAAAGCGCTTGAGTCACCATTGAAACAGGGACGGGGCTCCCAGAATCCTCCAGGGCCGCCGTGGCCACCCCCCCCCCTCAGTGGGCAGGGCCGGGGGCGCAGGGTCGCTGGCACCGGGCGG